TCGAACGTGACACCCTTCCACCTACATTCACACACACACACACCCACACACACACCCACACACCACACACACTCATGGTGTGATTGCATGACAACAAAGAGGTAACCCACGGCGCGCAGGCAGGCCCGATTCCTCTGCGCAGCGGCGGGTTCCGGTTCCGCGTGTGGGCACCAAACGCACAGCGCGTCTTTGTCATGGGCGACTTCAACAGCTGGAAGGAACGCGACCAGGCGTGCGAGATGCGCAAGGAAACAAACCTCACGCACTGGCGCATCGACATCCCTGCTGCGCGCACAGGCCACCGCTACGCTTTTCTCGTCAAGTTCAGGCAACCGGACAAGGAGTATATGAACATGAAGGACATGACCAGGCACCGCCCCTCGCGAAAGGATCGTTTTGTCTGGCGCGAGGACCCGCGTGCTCCGGTCAGGCAACGAGCTGCAATGTCTCTGTATTTGTATTTGTGTGTGAGTGTGTGTATTTGTGTGAATGAGGAGTGAGTGTGTGTGTGTGTGTGAATGAGGAGTGAGTGTGTGTGTGTGTGTGAATGAGGAGTGAGTGTGTGTGTGTGTGAGTGTGCGAATGAGGAGTGAGTGTGTGTGTGTGTGTGAGTGTGTGTGTGAATGAGGAGTGAGTGAGTGAGTGAGCACGCGTGTATGTGCGTGTGTGCGTGTGCACCCTGTGATCGCCTCTGTCTGCCAGCCAGTCTGTCTATATCCGTCCGCCTGCCTCCCCATTCGTCGTTGACTCACTCACTTTCATTTCTCCTGCAACAGATGCTGGTGTCCTGCCATGAGCATCGCCGCCGCCACTTCTACAGCGTCCTTTGTGAGTTCGGGTTCACAATCTCGTGTACTGTCACTGCCATAACACACTGAACAGTGTGCCATTGTTCAGTGTTCATGTTCACATACGCACACACACACGCACGCGCGCGCGTGCACTTGACAATGTGCAGACGATCACTCTGAGTTTCCGTGGACTGACGGCGACTTCATACCGCCCCCAATCAACAAGCTCGTCCTGTATGAGGTGAGACAGCCACCACCGCAACACAATCGCCCATGCACCATGAAATCGATTTCTTCTCGCGCACACATGTGCACCCGTGCTTACCACGTGTACGTTTTGCTGTGCTGTGTTGGGTTGCGATGATGGGCTGTGACAGCTGCACGTGGCGTCGTTCTCCAAGGCGGACGGGCAAGACCACGGCACATTTGCATCCACCACTGCGCGTCTCGACTACCTGAAGAGCCTTGGCATCAACGCCATCGCCCTAATGCCCATCACCCACGACGACCACCCCAATGAACACCACAACATGCCGTGCTGGGGGTGAGTTGTTGTGTGCGTGCATGTGTGTGTGCAGTGTGTGCAGTGTGTGTGTGTGTGTGTGTGTGTGTGTGTGTGCAGCCTGCAGTGTGCGTATGCGTGTGTATGCTCTGCACACATTGCACACCACAAGCGGCAACCACACTCACGCGTGAGGGATGTCCTCTTCCCACTACTTGGGCCTGCGACGCTTGCTTCCCCCATCCGACCGCAGGTACGATCCCATCTCGCTGTTTGCGATTCACCCAAGTTACGGCACACCAAACGACCTGAAGCTGCTGGTCAACACCGCGCACGAGCTGGGCATGGTGGTCGTGTTCGATTCCGTCTTCAACCACATGCACTCACGCTCCATTCTCCAGTTCTGGGACGGCACAAACCTCTACTTTGAGCAGGGTGTGTGTGTATGAGAGAGAGAGAGATATAGAGAGAGAGAGTGTGTGTGTGTGTTCGTTTGTGTGTTCGTTTGTGTATGCGCCTGTGTCTTCGTTTGTGTCTTCGTTTGTGTATGCGCCTGTGTGTGTGTGTGTGTGTGTGTGTGTGTGTGTGTGTGTGTGTGTGTGTGATGGGGTACAACTCTGTGTGGTGTACAACGCGACTGGCAGCGGGCACACTGATGTCACTTGCACATCGGCCCAGACAACAGCATCCGTCAACGCTCATCATGTTGATGACCACCACACGCTTGTGCAACAGAGGGCACGGAATGGGGCCCACGCCCCCGCTTCACATCGCATGGAGTTCAGGATTACATCATCGACTCCATTGTACAGACGATGCTCAGTACACTGTCATGACACACACGCACACACATAAACACACATATACGCACATAGACGCACTGTTGCCGTCACATGCGCTCTCTTGTTGCCCTTCCTCCCCGCGTGCTCCACTAACATCGGTGCCCCAAATACAGGTCTCCTTCTTCCGCGATTATCACATGGACGGCGTTCGCGTCGACTCCACCTCAAATGTCCGCGGTCAGGGCAGCGACATCCCGGGTGGCTGGCAGCTACTACAGGTGCGCCTCTTTTGGTCGTTGGCTGGTTGGTGTGTTGGTTGGTGTGTCGGTTGGTGTGTTGGTTGTATGTGTTGGTTGTATGTGTGCTTGTGCGGCCTCGCGCACACTGACTGCCCACTCATTCCCTCTCGACACCTTCCACGGTGATTTCTACACGCACGCACGCACACACGCACGCACAACCCGTTGATCAGCGCATCAACGACGTCGTGCACGAGAATTTCCCGCGCGCGTTCACCATTGCGGAGGATTTGTACGACGACCGGCGGCTCAACACGGGCGGCGCGTGCTTCGACCTGCAGTGGTGCCAGGGCACATTCAAGGTGATTCGATTGCGCAGCCTGTGCCTTGCAACATTGGTTCTGTCACATGCAGCTCCACTTGCTTTCCGCATCGTCATAACACGTGTCCACCAGACTGCTAACCCCACCGCACGCACACACACGCACACACACACACGCGCGCACACACACACACACACACACACACACACACACACACACACACACACACACACACACACACACACACACACACGCACACACACAGGCGCTGTTTAACGTTGCTGAGCCGACGAAAGACGCGCGACGCAACATCGGGGAGCTGGCACAGCACATCAGCCGCTCCCACCCGGGACACATGGGTGGACGTGTGCTCTACACTGAGAACCACGACACAGCGCCAGGCGACAGGGAAAAGCGGTGCGCTGGTGTGTGTGTGTGTGTGTGTGTGTGTGTGTGTGTGTGTGTGTGTGTGTGTGTGTGTGTGTGTGTGTGTGTGTGTGTGTGTGTTAGCGTCATGAGCGTGAACAGAATTGATGTTGTTCACCAAGGTTACCTAACTCCCACTTGCATTACTTGCCCGTCATCATCCCCTCCCCCCTCGCGTCTCCTGCTGGTGTGCCAGGATTCCCCTCGCGATTGTGCACGGCGATGAAAAGAGCGTTGGATCGTTCTACGCGGTCATGCGCACCACCCTCGTTGCCAGCATCATGTTCTGCACACCAGGGGTACCCATGCTGCTCCAAGGTGAGACAACAACACGTGGTGAAAAATGCACCTTGCTGCTTCATCCTCACACGATGTGCGTCTTCTTTAGCACCGCCATCGATGACGCTAGACGAATAACACCGTCACCACCACCATCACCACCATCACCACCATCACCACCATCGTGCTTGCAGGTCAAGAGATCTTCGAGTGCGCGTCACCGGAGTGGCCCGTCGGTCCAACTGTCGACTGGAAGCGCATCTACGAATTCCCGGGCGTCAACCTGTGAGCTTTGCACTTCCCCACTGCACCTTGATATGTGTTTGTGTGTTGCGCATGTATGCGTGCGTGCTGACCTCTCATTGGAATGCATGCACCACACTGCCCTTCCCTCCACGCACACGCAAAACCTCACACATGCTCCTGCGTCTCCCATCACCCGTGCACACACGTACGCGCACACGCAGCGTGTTCAGGGCGCTGATTGCACTGCGCCAGAACCAGCACGACAACACGCTTGGGCTAACGGGCCCATATGTGCGTGTGCATCATCTCAACGAAAGCGATGGCGTCATGGCCATTCACCGCTGGGCAAAGGTGCAATGACGCCACAACACGAAGACAACCGCATGTGTGCGCGCGTGTGTGTGGAGGGGGGTTGTGTTTGTGTGCTTGTGAGCGCGTGGTTGTATTTGTGTGCTTGTACGTTGCTTGGGTTGTGTTCGTGTGGTTTTCCACCTTGCCATTCCTGCAACATTCCAAAGCTATGATGACCTTACATACATTTCTCGTTGATGGTGTGTGTGTGTGTGCGTATGTGTGTGTGTGTGTGTTCGTGTGTGTGTGTGTGTGTGTGCGTGTGTGTGTGTGTGTGTGTGCGTGTGTGTGTGTGGTGTGTGTGTGTGTGTGTGTGTGTGTGTGTGTGTGTGTGTGTGTGTGTGTGTGTGTGTGTACAGGGCGGGCCTGGTGATGATGTGATGGTCGTTGCCAACTTCAGCAACAAGAAGTTTTCCAGCTACCGCGTCGGCTTCCCCCGTGAAGGTCAGCCGTTGGGTTCTCTGCGCATTTCGTGCGACACAGTGGGCCTGTTGTTGACCTGGTCGAGTGTGCACACAGCTTCCAAAACACACAACGCACACGTGCGTGTCGAATCACAGTCTCACACGAACACGAACACACACACACACACACACACACACACACACACACACACACACACACACACACACACACACACACACACACACACACACACACACACACACACGTGCAGGCCGGTGGAGTGTGCGACTGAGCACATCGCAGGCGGCGTACAACGATGGGCATCACGACACGAGCATTGACGTGCCGGAGCACATCAACGTGACCACGCACCATCCACGCGACGGATACCCGTTTTCGGGCGCCATTGCCCTTTCGCGCTACACCGCCATCTTCCTGTCGCAGAACGGCGAGGCGCGGCTGGTGTTCCGCGTCAAGCAGGAGACGGAGTGGGGCACCAGCGTCGGCATCTCGGGCTCAGACCCGGCCCTGGTGCGCAGCAATACGTGTGGTCGTCGCTGCGGTTGTGTGTCTACATTTGTGTGTGTGTGTCTGTGTGTCTGTGTGTGTCTGTGTGTGTCTGTGTGTGTACTTTTGTGCACTTGCGTGTGTCTACTTTTGTGCACTTGCGTGTGTGTACTTTTGTGCACTTGCGTGTGTCTACTTTTGTGCACTTGCGTGTGTTTGCGTGGTGTGCATATATTTGTGTGCATGCAGCCAACGTGCTTGTGACCTCACAGCCCACAACGCACAACCCACACGTGCACACATCAGGGGAGCTGGACGCGAGCGATTGAGCTGCGAACGGACACTGCAGATGCGCACTACCCCTGGTGGCAGAGCGATCCCGTTGTCGTGCCCGCACGCACAGAGCTCTCTTACAAGATGGGTGGGTTGCCATCGCGTGTTTGTAGTGCCATGCCGCGTTGTCGTCGTGGACGTGCCGTGTGGTGCGGCTTTTGTGAGTGTGTCCTGTGTGGGTGGTGTTGCTTGCCTTTCTACACGACTACAATGCCTTGTCACCACCCCATGTCGTGTTTCTCACAACCAAGCGTGCTGTTGCGATGGTTTGCGATCAACAGTACTGTTGCGCAACGATGAAATCGTGCACTGGGAGGACCGCGATGACCGGACAATATGTCCACCCATCGGCCGCGTTCGCCTCATCCTCTCTTGATCCCGCCGGCTCTGCATGCGCTGTGTGCGTGTGTATACGTGGGTGCGCGTGCGTCTGTATGTCTGTCTGTCTGTTACTTCAGGCCCACCTTCTTCTGGAATATGGCGTGCGTGTGCTGCCTGTTGTGTGGTTCCTTTCCTTTGCCCTTGTGTTATCAGAATCAAGTACATGCGTACGTCACGGAGGAAGAGAGGGTTGTTTATTAATGGCAACACCTGCACAAACACAAGACACGACGAACCGAAACTGACGTGCAATGCACCTGTGTGTGTGTGCGCGCGCGCGTGAGAGAGAGAGAGAGAGAGACAGAGAGGCAGAGACAGAGAGAGACAGAGAGAGAGAGAGAATGTGTGTGTGTGTGTGTGTGTGTGTGTGTGTGTGTGTGTGTGTGTGTGTGTGTGTGTGTGTGTGTCATACATGGTCTTTCGGTCCGACCCGCTGGCCTGTCACTTCTTGCTGCTGCTGTTGTTGTTGTCTTGTCAACTGCCTGTCTCATCACTGCTTACTGTCTACGGCCTGTGCTGTGCTAGTTGTCGTTGCTGTCGCTGCTGTGTGTCGCTGCAAAGTGCGGGCGATTGCGGCCGCGTACGCCTCTGAGGCACCAGGGTGAATTGGCAGGTACAGATATGGCTCTGTCAGCTCCAGCTCCGACAAGCGGATGCTGCCGTCGTCGTCCTGCATAATGTCAATCCTGGCGTACAGGCATGGCGGCTGCGTTGCCAGCACGCGGTCCACAAACGCTCGCTCCACCTCCGTTGGTGCTGCTGAGTGCTCGGGAAAATGGAGCTGGTCGCCCTCAAATGTGGCGCGCTTGTGCACTGCATGGGACAGGGCGCCGTCGAACCAAATGAGGCTGGTCTCTCCGCGCGTGCGAATGCTGTGCATGAACTTCTGTACCATTGCGTCGCGGTCTGCCAGGAGCGCGTCCAGGTGGGCTTGGGCGGCCTCGTGGTCGGCCGCGCGGAAGTGCTTCGTCTTGAATGAGCTGGCGCCCACAGCTGGCTTGATCACAACGTCAGACCATCCGCGCTGCTCAACCAGATCTGCCACTGAATGCTTGGTGCCTCTGCTGTAGTGCGCTGTTGGAATAGTGGGGATGCCCTTCTCCTCCAACTTGGTCAGATACCCTGCGTTGCTCGAACACAGACATGTGCCATGTGCGCAGTTTAGTTTTGGGTGTGCGTGTGTGTTTGTGTGTGTGGTGGGGGGGGGTGCGAATACATGAGTATGGGAGAGAGGAAGACAGAGAGCGCGCGTGCGTGCGATTACGACTGTGAAACTGTGCAGTTCCAAAGTGTCGATGGGCCAATCGTTGAAAGAAAAGCAGCGTAAATACGCAACTGTGCAAACACACACAAGCATGCACACAAAGCATGCACACAAGCAATTCTGCGCACACGCGCTCCACTACACCTCTTTGCTTGTCCCGCCTCGTTCCTCTCCTGCTTGCCCCTTGATTCACTCACAACACTAGTAGACACACCTTTGTGAATGTTGGAGCGAAGGACAGAGAGGCTGTTGTGGATGACGAGGTTGCGGCGCTCCACCTCGTCCAAAAAGGCCACAAACTCATCGTACTTGAGGTGGTAGTTCCATGGCGACTTGACGATGCCCACATCGCGCTGCGTCCAGTGCTCAAATACATCGGGCGTGTCCCAGGCCAGGTTCACTGCATCAACCCCGTGCTTCTCCTTGAGCAGCTTCATCAACAGCGGCGTCTCGTTGTCGTCGCTCGTCCCGCTGGTGGCCGTGATGAACACCACCCGACCTTCTCGCGCCTCCTCACTCGTCATCGTGTGACAGTGGTGCGTGGTTGTTGGCGCAGCAAGCAACGTGCAGTGTCCTTCCTTCCTTCGGCGGTCTGCAACTGAATTCAGTCTGGTGTGAGTTTTAGGGTGGTGGATGCGCGGTTTTTTGCTGGTTCAGAGGTTTTATGAATG